GGCTGGGCTGGGGTTTGGAACCGCTCACGTCAGGGCACTTCAAGAGAAAAACTCTGCTTCCCCCCGTAGCCCTGAAACCACCTTTTTTGTCTGCACATCACAGAAACCGCTGGACCTGCCTGGTGCGGCAGAAGGAACCGAGACAGAAACAAACGCCTCTCAAATGTTGATTATCGTGTCAGACACGGCTTTTTAGGAGTCCTTTCTTCCTCAAAAGGGGTGCACTACTCTCCCACCCTTTCCCGAGAGAAGAAAAAATATATACATAATCATATAATAATGGGAGGGGGCGGGAAAGACCTTTCAGATCGTGTCACTAACCCAGCCCTGCCAAGGCCACCGCTGCCCCGTGTCCCTCAGCACCACAGCCACACGGCTTGGAAACCCCTCCAGGGATGGGGACTCCACCCCTGCCCTGGGCATCCTGGGCCAGAGAAGCTCCTCCTAATATCCAATCTAAACCTGTCCTGGCACAACTTGAAGCCATTTCCTCTTGTTCTCTTGCTCATTACTTGAGAGAAAAGACCAACACCCACCTCACTCCAACCTCCTTTCAGACACATATATATGTATATATCCGTGTATTGGTACACGACAGAACACTCACAGGGCACAGTTTGAGTTGTACCTGTTCAGATACCAGGAGCAGGGCTTATCAGGCCAGCAACCCTCCCCCAGTTCCCTCACCCCCTCCGGTGGCACCAATGTTATCTTTACCTTCCACATTCTTTACTTTGGAAGCCTCCAGCCCTGACTCTGCAGGATCCTGCAACCTGTCAAGCAGAAAATGATAAGCAGACACAATAGAGCATTCACTGCCATGTTAAGCAAATTTTAACTGTTGGTAAGAAAGAGGGGTTTTATCCCCCACTTCAAAGAACTAGCAAGTTGAAAATACATCCTTGTTTGTGTCTAACTTGCCTGATACTTCTCTGGTTTCTACACAGACAACTCAGACTTTACACTTTGGATTAAGATAGTGATGTTTCAGGTTGTATTGTTCTCTCAACCAGCTTAATAATTTTCCAGCTACTTAGCAATGAAGGATCCTTGCTGAACCTTTCAACCAGGTTTCTTTTGACCTGTAAAACAAGGTGCCTTTTTCCCCACCCAGGCTTCTCTCAGCACTCTGAAGCCACCTAACACCCTAAAAACCATATCTGAAATATCTTTAAAAGCACAAATTATTCAGGGTTTGCATATTTTGGCCATGATGTCCTTTCAGTTTTACATGCCCATCTTCCAAATTGAGAAGAGTTCTTCTCAACACTTTAAACCACTAATTTTTACCAGGTCTTGTAGCTGTAAAATGGTGTGTTCCAAGTAAGTTTTCCCTGTAAAACAAGGTGCCTTTTTCCCCACCCAGGCTTCTCTCAGCACTCTGAAGCCACCTAACACCCTAAAAACCATATCTGAAATATCTTTAAAAGCACAAATTATTCAGGGTTTGCATATTTTGGCCATGATGTCCTTTCAGTTTTACATGCCCATCTTCCAAATTGAGAAGAGTTCTTCTCAACACTTTAAACCACTAATTTTTACCAGGTCTTGTAGCTGTAAAATGGTGGGTTCCAAGTAAGTTTTCCAGGACAACTAGTAAACTATTTTGAGTAAAAAACAACAAAACAAAACAAAAAAAAAATCACACTTAAAAATTAACCCACACTCTCCCCAAATGTATAGAGGGCCATTACTGCTTACATGGTTTTTAAGGACAGGTTTTCCCATTATTTTCCATTGCAGCAATTTATTCTTCCACTACTGTGCTGTATCCAAAACCTGCAGCCAGTTCCACTGCCTCCTGAAGCTCTTCAACTTATCTTCAACTACGGGGTTGTACCTCCACTAATTGTGAGATAGAATGTGCTAACCTAAACTTTAGGGGGGAAAAAAGGCTTCAGCAAGAAGTTTTAATTTGCCTCTGCAGCTGGCTAGGAAGCTGGGCTGGGGCACAGTTCTGTTAACTGGGAACTGGTTATATACCTTAAGGGTCTATGTGGTTATTAGGAGCAGAGACCCCCCAGTACCTATGCATATGTCAGACACAATGCTTGCTTGCACAGCACCATGTTACTCTCTTGATTTTGTGCCAAATCAGTGGGACAGTTTTTATCAGAGATGGAGACACTTCATCTAAAAGTTACGTGAGCAAAAGTTGTTCTGGTCTCACTCTGTCTTACTCCCTTGACATGTTTGAAGGCTTGCTCTGGGTTCACTAGGGAGAGAAGAGTCTGGACTGTTCCTGAACCAGCAGGACACTATTTCACATCACAGCTTCAGAGCCCTTACATTAGAGGAAAAAGTCTTAGCTCCACTTGTAGTTGTTGGTTTCTGGTACCCAGCCAAGAAGATCCAAGCTCCCTTTACCACATTCACTTTGAGGCCACAATCACAACGGAATAATACCCTCAGACTGCAAGTGCCAGCAGAACCAGCCATCCTCGCTACCCACAAGAGGTCACTGCTGTTCCAGGCAGTAATATTTTTCCCATCATCACTGTCCTGCTCTGACAAGTTCTACACCCCTCTCTTCTTGATAGGCAGATGGCTCTAACACCAGCAGATGTACCTTGGTCACCTTTTGTCACCCCTGCATCGTGCCCTCAGCTTAGGGTGAGTTTCAAGTAGGAGCCTGGAGAACAGTAATGCCCAGTTTCATTGCACCCACACAAAAGGGTAGATGCGAACTGAAATAACCAGGTTTTTTAATTACATTGTTTAGATCAACATTAGAGCCTCAGTTTGCACAAAAAAAAACAACAAACTTTTCATGTTTTTTTAGTTTTCACATTACCATGCAGTTCCTCTAAAGAGAGTTAATGCAACTGTTTCTTGTACTCCTTAGGGACACAGGACTTGGCCTAGGAGCAGACACCGAAGCCCCACCCCTCCCTGAGGAATGTAAAACTGAAGGCGTCCTGAAGAGCTTCCACTGACATGAATCTTCTGCACAGCCTGGCCATGCCCACACCAGACCCTATATGAGAACATCTACCCAAGTTAACTAATTTGATTATCTGGAAACAAATTTAACTCAGGAACTGTAACACAATAATAAAAAAAAGCTAGCCAAGAGTTTCACCAACACCTGAGCTCCTGTTTCCAGGAGAATAAGACCATTTTTCTAAGCCATCACCTGATCCTTTGGTTCACTGCATCAGCTGAAAGGAAGCCAGGGAAGCATAGTCAAGAGAAGGATTCCAAGAGGCAAAAATCCCTATGATTGTCCTTTGTTGCTTTTTCTAGCATGTGACAAAAAAAAATAATCTACATTTCTAGCAGATCTGGCACAGATTAAAGACCTAATCCTTGACTTCATTAACCCCATCTAATCCATGTTGCATAGACACTAATACAGACAGCTTTGATGCAGCATTAATGAAAAGCATCTACAACTGCTCAAGGAATTCCAAAATTATTCCCAACAGCCTTCATAATTTCTCAGCAGCTACCCCCTCCAGACAACAACTTCTTCAAACAGATTTATAAGAATCAAGCAAAAAATCCCACAAGGAAATACATTCCATACATATCTGCTAAGAACTTTCAGCAACAAGGCAGTTAAACAGGAGCAAACACTACAACCAACTCTCAGGTGGCTTTTCCTCTCAGCAAAACACTTTTCAGAGCTTTGAAAGTTTTATTTGGCAAACACTGGGGACCAGGCTGCTCTGTAACAAGTACAACGAGGTACCCCCAAGCTAACTAGGAGGAATCTGACACTGGCAGGCTGGGAGGAGTGCTGGAAGCTCAGCACATGTTACAATTTCTGGGAGCAGAACTGCAATACACACAGAAAAATACCTGGAGCCAATGCAGTGTTTTGGGGCTATACAGGATGTGCTGTTTTTTCCCTGACTTTCCTTTTGTGGGAAACTACAAAGCCAAGTTTTATTGTTTCCATTTCAATCTAAGCCCTTTATGAAGGAAGGTTAGTAGCAATAGCTCCTACTCTCCAGCAGGCAACAGTTGTACCACATGATAAAAGCCAACAGTGGTAAAGTCACACCAAGGCTGCCTTCATGATCTTGCACTAACTGAACATAAGCACTGGAACTAGTGAGTTACATTCATTCTAAGTCCTCTGGAGTTAAGCTTAGTGAATTTCTATTTTATCTTGATTATGCAAGACCAATTATGGTGACTTGGCTGCTGTTACTCCTAGACTAACACCCACCATCCTCCTGCTTCCCATCCCTCTGTTTTCACTCTGTTTTCAGTGTCTCCGAGTACAAAGTTTGCCATGTCAGCTGCTACTCCAACCTGGCTCCTTCTGATTCTCAAGAGACTGAAATACACAGTCCCCTTATCTTTTTTAACCAGGTCAACATGATCAGTGACTGTTAAAGAGTTCAAACAACACAACTGCTGTAACAGGACACGCTCGTGGCAGAACTGGAGCAGTTGAACCAGCCTAAGGGCTTGGCTTTCCTTCCAGCCAGGAGAGATGCTTAGTCATTTGAAGCACTTTTCCACCAGCATCAAAAACGTGCAGCCAGGCTGCAGGGAGTGGACAAGAATTCCAGCCAGCAACTCAAAAAAGCCATTAGAAGTGTTTGTGGGCAGAACATAATCAGCTATGCTGCTGGAATGGAGCCAGCACAAGCCATGAATTAAAGGCTTGCTCCAAGTGCTGTGATAGCTTTTAATTTCAAATTTAGATTAGGAGATTAATATGGGATATTCCTTCATGCTGTGGCTGCGTGGAGAAGAATAAATGTATTAATATTGTACATTCACAATGAAACAGAATATGCCAAGAATAAAAAAATTACATTCAGGACCCAGTCTTGAGGTCACTCAGCTCAGACTCAAGCCTGGAATGTTTCCAGTCTGGGAAAGGCACTTGCACAGCTCAGAGACACCCTTTGCAGTGATC